TCCAGTAAAAGTTCAGTAATTGCTTTAGCACATAGAGCTTATTAAGTCTGAATTCATTATGAATGTTAATTTACACATTGGGGTAAAATGCATTAATGTGGCTAGCATTCTTGCCCTGCTTGCTAGATGATAGAAGAGGGGAATAGGCAATCTGTAGGGATTAATTCCTTCTCTTGTCTCTGTTCTATCGGAAAATCTGCTACAGAGACTTCAAAATCCTTTTGAACCCCAGGGAAAACAATACTAGGAGTTACAGTGGGAGGGGGATATAGACAAACGTAGCCTCCCATATCTATTTCTGCTATTGCAACTGAATATTTATTGTCCCATATTCAAACCTGGAATTTTGCCTGAATCAGGATGCATAGGAATTGGATATTGTATGATTTAAATCCAACTTTTTTTTAATTATAAAACTTAGTCATATTAGATGGATTTTCTAATTAAAACATTCTGAAATGAAATATGTAAAAAAGAATTTTACCAATGACCTTATTCTTGACTTAAAACATTTTAAAACCAAACCCATTACTTTTTATATATTATTAAAATTGTAGACTTAAATATGATTATCTTTTAGTTTTTAATATAATTATCAATCCATTTGTATGCCACCTCAATCACTAGAGTAACTCTAGGTGGCTTACAGAATAAGGTTAAAACAATTCACAGGGCAGGCACAGCCATCACAGAGGTGTGTCTCGTAGGTCCCACATGATGACAGTGGGAACTTGAAGCACACTAATTACCCAGAACTTGCTAGTGAGGCTGAGATTTATTGAATTACCCAGAGAAAAAAACAAATGGGGGATTGAGAATATGTTCTGGATACCACCTCTGCCTGTTAGAGGAGATAATGAGATACAGTATCACCAGTTTGTCTTCAAATATACAGGTAGTCCTTGGTTAATGACTGGCTCAGTGAGCATTCAAAGTTACGACAGCACTGAACAAATGGTATTTATGACCAGGCCTTGAATTTCTGGCCATCCCAGTGCTCTTGTGGTCACATGATCATGATCACAATCTGGGCATGTGGCATCCAGCTTACACTTATGACAGTTGCAGCATCCCACAGTCATGTGGTTGCCATTTGCTGTCTTTCCTGCCGGCTTCCCACAAGCAAAGTCAGAGTTGATGGCAAAGAAGGTTGCAAGTCACATCTGTAAGTCACTCCCACTCCTACCACTTTTTCTCTTGAGCCCAGTTATGGAGTATGAGGTCCCAAGGTCTCATAATCTGTAGTGCACATACCCGCAGCACCCCCCTCCCCAGCCTGCACTCCATAGTACCTGCCTGGCTGTGCTGGTGCTGCACCAGCTCGGTTTCCCCATTGACTTTGCTTGTTGGAAGCCGGCAGGAAGTTGCAAGGAGCTCCTTGCTTAACAGCCCGCAATCCTCATTTGACAGTAGCAATGGTGATTGCTGAGATTTCCACTGTGATGCGTTCGTGTGACTTTGTGGTTTACGACCGCATTGTTTAGTGTTGGAAATTCTGGTCCCAATTACCATTGTTAAGTGAGGACTGTAAGGATGTTTTGTGACTGGCCATGCTCACAGTGACACCCAATTATGGATTCTTCCAAGTAGTATTGAAGTCACTGTTTAAGGAAAAAAGTGTAAAAGGCTTTTGGAAATATATAACTTGCTCCATGATTAATAGAATGAAGATTGCAGAATAGCACCCTGTTTAGTATCTTGGCACGTGTATGGAATGAGCAACAGGAGATGAGTTTTGTAATTACCCCCTTTGATTTCACCAGAAAAAAATTACCTAGTACCAGAATATCTGGGTGCCTACCAAGAATTTTCAGTAGGCTTCAAATTCCTGATATGATTAGTATATTTAGCTTTAAAGCAATATGTTTTTTGTTACTATAATTAAAGAATATACATGTTCAAATAGAAAACTAGATTTAAATTTAAAATTGTTCTGAATATCTTAATTGCAACTGAAATAACAAAATCATTGTCATTTAAATTAAATCCACTCTGGGATACTTCTCTGCAGTATAAATGTACAATAAAACTTTGTTATCACTATTCAACCCTATTTAAATTTAGTTATGCAATTCCATTGCACGTGGAAGAGCTTGTAACTAAATAGATAAAGAAATTGCAAACATGGTAAAATAAGAACTTAAGATGCAAAGATGTGACTGGTTGCCCGCAGCACAGAGCTTTTAGGAACATTTTAAAAATACTTGTAACCTAAATGGGTGTGTAAAAAAAATAATATGTGCGTGGATATAATTCAGAGATATCATTATAGTTCATGTATAAACCACTCCAAAGGTATTCTGCAATGTGTTGAATTAAATATATTGGCCATGTTCCCTAAATCAAATCCTGGCTTAATAAACCAACCTACAAACATCCTTTATCTGTAAGCTTGTCTCTCAATACTTGGTTGCAATGTTTAAATGAGTAAGTGAACAAAGCAACTAAGAAACCCCCTTCAAGTTTTGTGATAGGATTTCTTTAAAAATGTCAAGATTTCATCACTTTACTTAATGCTTGCTATTATTTTACTGCCTTTTTTGTTTTTGTGCTTACTGATGTACTAACAGTTGTGTCTTCTGGGATGGTGATTTCACTGCACACACTTGCAGGAGAGAAATAAAAAATAAAACATTTATCAAGTACTTTGACCTGTGGGAATATT